CATGTCTCTGCGGAAGCCGAGTGTCCGGCCGCCTGGCTTCAGCTGCGCCGCGCGGGGCAGCTCTTCCGCGCCCCGCGCCCCTGGCCAGGCCCCTCGGCGGGGGCCACGCGGACCCGCAGCAGTGCCTACGGCCCCCGCGCGCGGACCCCAGCGGGAGTTGGGGCTTGGGGGGCGGCGGCGGTGGGGCGGAGAGCCGGGGTGCGCACTTGGGCGCCCCTGGCCATGGCGGCGAAGGTGGACCTGAACACCTCCACCGACTGGAAGGAGGCAAAATGTAAGTGTGAGCAGAGGGGACGCGGGCGAGGGCCGCCCCACGTGGGCTTCCGCGGCTGGACGGCACCCCACCAGCAGCTCTTCCTCCTGAGACCGGTGGAAGTTGAGGCCCCCTATACCCTGGTCAGGACTCCCCCGTTCACAGCCACGCCTCCCCCCACCCCCCGCGTTCCCAGCCCCACAAACCAGTTCACCCCCACCGGGTCCAGGTCCCCTGTCAGGAGCGGAGTGAAGAAGGTGGCCGTACCCCACTGACATGGGTCACAGGGCACCCCCAGAGGTCATCCAGGACCTACCACCTTGCTCCGTTGTGCAGGAGGGAAACTGAGGCCCAGTGCTTGAGCGGAATAGCCCAAGGTCACTTGGGAGCTGGTGGCAGAGCTGACCTCAGGTTCCCGAGCTCCCCGTGTTTTGCATAGTGTGGCTCCTCAGGTGGCGGCGTGTTGGGCACAGTGGCAGGGAATGGGCTGAGGGGGTCGCCCTCCCGCTGGTGTCCCACCTGGTGGGATCAGATAACCCCAAGGAGTGGCTTCCCTGGGCAGGCCTGTCCCACCTCCACCTCCTCCCCAGTCACGCCTGCCTCTCTGGGCACGTGGTTTGGTGCCCTTTCGCCCTCATCCCTGGCCTCCTGCCACTTGTTAACAGTCCCTGCCCATTCCTGGGGGACACAGGGCAGAGATGGGGCATTGTGTCTGTGAGGACAGTGACATCACCCCCACAGGACAGGCAGGAGTCCCAGAGCTGGACTCTGCCCCCGCCCCCCTCCCCCACAGAGCCAGGAAGGGAGGCAGCCTGACCTGCAGAGCCCCAAATAGACCAGATGCCAGTTCCAGCTGCCCCTGCCCTTCAGGGTCTGCTCCCTGGGCCCTGGTGGCCATTCCCCGCTGGATCCCCTTTCAAAAGGGCAGAGAACGCAGCTCATTGGCTGCGCCCGCCCGTGGAGGGGCTTTGGCCAATGAGGCTGAGAAGGCAGGCCTTGGGCGGCCACGGTTGGGGGTGTAGGGAGGGCGTCCTCTCCGGATTGGAGGTAGAGTTTGAGATGATTTACCCCCATCACGAATCGCTTGGCCTGTGCTGGGATCTTAAAGCGCCCGCAGAAAGCACTTGACTGCTCTGTGAGCACAACGAGTGCTTATCATGCCCTCAGCGCTGGCCCCAGAACACCCATCAGGGCAGGGAGCAGGGGGCTGGCAAAGTCCCCCCGCAGGGGACAGCAGAGACACCCCCGGCAGGGGGACTGTCCCACAGGGAGCCTGGCTTCTCTGTCAGGGGACAGTAACGGTAACCCAGGATGGTGGGAAGGAGCTAGGGCGTCCAGGGGCCCCCGCACCAGGCTCAGATCTGCCTCAGTTTTTAGGATCCAGCTCCCTACCACCACCCATTCCTTGGTGCCCCTGAAAACTTCCAGATCTCACGAAGCTGACAGGCCAGGGATTCCCGGGCCCCTGCGGCGTCTCTGTCCCTCTGCTGGGATGTCCACTCCTTCGGTCAGTCCACTTTCACTGAGTGCTCTCTGTGTGCAGCTCTGTTTGGTGCTGGGGATGGAGCCACGAGTGAGACAGGGAAGGGCCCTGTCCTCACGGAGCTTCTACTTTGGGGGGGAGGAAACTGGTAGAGAATTTGGTCATCCAATGGGACAGTGCCAGGTAAAGGTCAGAAACTACGGCAGATGGGGCTGCCTGAGCTCCAGTGCCCTGTCCGGGGCGAGGGGGGAGGGCAGTTGGTCCCAGGTACCCCAGCACCAGGTGTCAAGTCCCCAGCAGGTGTCAGATGGCGGCACAGAGACCTCCATGTGTTTTAGTACCTATTGCTGCGTAACCAGTGAGTGGCTTCAACAGCAAGCATCTCCCTCTCTGGTGGTCAGGGCGTGGGAGTGGCTTAGCTGGGTGGTTCTAGCTCAGGGTTCTCGGGAGGCCTGGCGACTTGCTGAGGCCTGGAGTGAGCCGTTCCCAGGTGGCTCACTCACAGGAAATGGCTGTTGGCTAGAGGCCTCAGTTCTTCACCACGGGGCCTCCACAGGGCTGCTTAAGTGTCCCTACAACATGGCAGCCGGCTTCCCCCAGAGCAGGTGATCCAAGACAGGGAGCGAGAGGAGACCCAGCCGGAAGCCAGAAGCCACAGTGCCTCCTCGTGACCTGGTTTTCCAAGTCGAGCAGCGTGTCTTCTGCCTTATCCCAGGGCGTAGGTCAAGTCATGGAGTCCAGCCCACATTCCAAGGGAGGGAAATTAGGGTCCCCCTTTGGAAGGGAAGAGGATCAAAGAATTAGGAAGGTTGAGAACCACTGGTTTAGTCTCTTCTTGACCTTCATATGCACAGAGGCATACAGTGTGCCAGCGCCTTTTACTTCATATCTGCGATTCGTCCTCATTAGTGGGTGTGTTAACAGTTGGCTCTTTTTTCACGGCTGTTGATACTCCGTGGTGTGGATCTACCACAGTTAGTGTCCCGTCCTCCTGTTGATGGGCATGTGGGCTGCCAGTGTTGGGAATGAAGCTGTGTTGAGTATTCTCGTACATGTCTTTGATGGACATGTGTTCTCCTTTCTCTTGGGGACATACCTACACAGGCCTCCAAATGCCCATCGGTGCCTGAGATGGTCCTCTCTTAAAGACTGGTGCCCAGCCCTGGGCAGTGTGGCTCAGTTCGTTGGGCATCGTCCTGTGCACCAAAAGGTTGCCGGTTTGATTCCCTGTCAGGGCACATGCCTGGGTTTCGGATTGATCCCCTGTAGGTGGCGTGCAGGAGGCAGCCAATCAATATTTTGCTCTCATATCAATGTTTCTTTCCTCCCTTCCTTTCTCTCTAAAAGTCAATAAACTATTTTTTTTTAAATAAAAGCAGTTAAAAAAGCCTGGTGCATAGTAACCAAACTCACAAGATACTGACGTATAGGTCAGAAGGTTGATGTATAGCTCAAGGTGAGGAATTATGGCAGGAGGTGTGGAAACCCAGGTGCCTGGACGGAGCCTCCTCTCCCTGTGGGGAAGCCATGTGGAAGCCAAATCCTAGTCTTAGGTTCGCTCAGCAGCGCATGTTCTCTAACTGGGGAGCTGGTGGGATGATTTTGGAAGCCGAGCCCTCTGCCCGGGGCAGGCCGGGCAAGCTTCCCTTGGGGGACCTACCCACCAGGAGCCCCTTCCCTGGCGCTTGTTCCGTGTTGCAGTCTGTGTGCGGCGTTACCTGCCTGCCCGGGGCCCGCGTGCAGGATGCCCAGCCCCACGCATGGCCCAGTGAGTCCTCTGGACAGGTGGCCGGTTCTGCCTCACTCTGGGGATGCCTTTTCTCTACCCTCAAGGGAACTGCCCGCTTCCCAGGGCCCATTCTCCCTCTAGGTAAGTGAGGAGCATCGGGCTGGGTCTTCCTGAGGGGGAGACGTTCAGTCTTGGGGAGACCCCTGCAGTATCTGACGACACTGGCCAGGGTTACTCTCTCTAAATGAATCCCCTCCTGATCCCCTCAGGTGGTGGCTGTTCCTCGGAAAATTGTAGGAACAGTTGTGCTGGGAGGCAGTTGGGTGTGAAGGGACTCAAGGTCAGGCACTGAGGGCATCTGGGGACTGTCACCACGGGAGGGCCCAGCCTCCAGGAGAGGGGCCTCCTGACTGCAGTGGGGGCAGAGCTGTGTGCGGAAGAGAACGGGCATTGGTGACATCAGACCTGGGCCACCCCAGCACCTGCTCCCATGCTTCCCGAGCCTCAGTTTCCTCATCTGTGAAACAGGACCAACAACACCTGACTTGCAGGTTTTGTAGGCTGCACTGGGATGACGTCAAAACCATGTATACACAGCGGCCCACACGGTGCACGGAGGGTCCCCAGCGGCCCCCCCCCGGGCTTGTCTCCTCTCTGCTGTGTTCTGGCCACGGAGACGCTGAGCTTGAGTACACTTGTCCCTGCCATGCGGTCAGACGCTGGAGCTTGACCCGCACGTCCTGAGTCCTGTTTCCTCTCCCCGGGGGCTCAAGAAAGCACTCGTGTTCCAGCCTGTGTGCGCTGGCGGGGCGGGGGCTCGGTCCCACCAGTGGCGTCGCGTCCAGAGTGGATGATTTATCTGATTCGACTGCTGAGCTGGGACATTTTCCAGGCACACCTGGGGTGGGGGGCCTTCTCCCATCTGTCTTCGGAGGAAGTCGCCTTGGCACATTCCGGTGCGGGGGAGGCGAGGGGCAGGAAAGCCCCGCGGGGCTTCGAGCTTTGACAAGACCCCGCTGCTGGGGGACGGTGAGCCCCGGTGATGAATGGCCCTGCTGCCCTGTTCGCAGAGCCCGGCGTTACCAGCCCTGCCCACCTGGCCTTCTCCGGAAGAGGAGCCCCCTCCGCGCCGGCCTGCCCTCCCCTTTCTGAACAGCGGCTTGCAGGGCGCCACAAAGACTTCTTAAAACACATCATTGAATTCCCGCTCGCCTGCTGCACTTTATGGCTCTGGCGCAGCCTGCTTCCTCCAGCTCAGAAGCTTTGTCTGGGGTCAGGCCTCCCCATCAAAATTTACTGCAAACATCTTTTTACAACACCTGTCTCACTGAGCTGTGAAATACGCTCGCCTCCAAAACAGAAAGAAAATTAAAACCTGTGTTGTACATCTCTTATCAGAAAAATAAAACTCACTTGTGCTTTAAGTCTGCATCTGTCTTTCGGGCAAAAGGAGATGGATGATGTTATAATGTGTGGGGCACGTGTCCAGCCGAAGGGCCCCACTTCTCCCGGGCGCGTGAGGCGGGCCTGGGTGCCACCGGCGGGAAGTGGGGGTGACCAGGGCACTGGGAGAGAATCGCTGTTGTCTTCTCCTCCCTCGGGAGTCAGAGACCAGTGTGTGTAGCTCCTCTGATCAGCCCGGCCGAGACCTGGGGTTGAGGACAGGGTGCCCCCCATGCTGGCCTCGAGGGGTGTGTGCTTGGGGACCACGGACTGGAGGGACAGGCTGACACGTGTCCCCAAGGTTGGCACCCAGCGCTGGTGGCAGAGCTGGGAGCTCTGGTTGTCTTCCTCTGTCGTTTCTGAGAAGTGGGGGGGGGGGGGGGTCTTTCGGACTTGACTGGAGAGGGCTGTGCAGGCCATGGTCACTCAAGCCATGGGTGGGGGGGC